CTGACGTCCTCCCCCCCCCGTGCTGTCCCCTAGCTGGTCAGGAAGCCCCAGTGGTCTTGCCTGAGATTCAGAGCCTGCGTGCCAGGCCCTCGCCCTAGCCACGCTCTCTAACCCCACAACCCCCCAGCCAGTTTCCTTCCTCTGCTCTCAGGTGCTTTCGGACCTGCTCAGGAAGCCGGGCCTGCTCCCGGAGGAAGCCTCATCGGGTGAGTATTGAGCCTGTGCGGGGTCGTCAGTTTAAACGCTGCTGCCTCTCCACGACTTTCCTGCCGCCGCCGCAGCCGCCCAGGGCCTGCCACCCAGAGGGGCGGAGGCTGTGAGGTCACATGGCGCCAGTCACCTCTCGGAAAGGACTGGAGGCAGGCTCCCAGGGCCGCCCCTGCGCACAGGACCTCCGGCAGGCGGGGCGGAGGCGGGGCAGGGACAGCGAGGAGCCGCACTTGGCGTATCACAGCCACAAAGGCGGTTATTCCCACCGGACACCTGGGCGCTGAGGCACCAAGTTAGGAAACCAGCGGTCAGCCCGCGAAGGTGGGTGCCCTCGGATGTCACCTGTCTTTTTTCTCCCCCCAGGACCACCATCGGGGACCCTCTGCCTTGGAGACGGGGGATAAAGATGGCTTCCCACGGCCCTTGAGGACCCCAGGACCCCCGCCGTACTGCCCCGCTGCCGAGGGCGCCCAGAGCTCTTCCAGGAGAGTGGGTTCCCACTACTGGCCGGCCAAGGGGAGCCTCGTGCCCCACACCCTGCCCGAACCCGGGAGCCCGCGGCTGGCCACCGACGCCCGTCCCAGTCCCCTGGGGATCCCGTACTCCAAACTGTCCCAGTCGAAGCACCTCAAGGCCCGGCCGGGCGGCAGCCAGTGGGCCTCTGATTCCAGGCGGAGAGTGCAGGCCCCTCGGGACCACAAGGACCCCTAGCCCGTGCACCAGTACCAGGTGGCCATGATGGTCAGCCCGAAGGTCATCCCGGTCCACGGGAGGTCCGCCGTGTGGGGGTCCCGGAACATGTGCATGGCATCCGCACGCGGCAGGTGGCAGGTCGTGTTGGCAACCGTCTTGGATGGTATGGCCTGGGCGTAGGCCGCTGCCAGCTGCTCATACCCGCCGATCTGGTCGAAAGCTGGTGGGGTCGGGCAGGACGGGGCGGTTGGTGGCTGGTGCCTGACTCCCAGCCCCCCGCTGCCCTCACCTCGCAGGGAACTTCCTGTGGGTCCCGCTGGCCTCCCCACTCCACCTT